ACTCCCATTTTACAGATAAAGAAAGTGAGGGTTGGAATAGTTAAAAAGTAACTGGCGGTGACCTCTATCTAGCCTTTCCTTTTTACAGAACAACATGCTATCCTTCATGAGTATTACACCCAGCTTTCTCCCCTTGCATTTCTCCCTCTGAGGGTTACTAAATACCTCAAGAAAAATTCCACATTTATAGAAGTACCTCCTAAGAGCCAGAGTCTGGCTGAATTGTTGGCCACACAAAAATGCAATCAACATAAGCCAAGAGCCATGTGTGCCTTCTCCTCACCCTCCTGGTCTCACGTCCTTTGTGGAATTCACTGATACAATATTATCTAGTTATTTTTTCCTCTCTCCTTTAGTTTTAAAGCCCTCTGGATGAGGACAGCAAGTGTCCTGCCAAATACATACTTCTAATTCTTGTGAAATTCAAAGTAATCACAAAAGATACTGGAAGCTTCCCAAACAGGTTAAATGGTGAGCAAATGCCCTGGTGAGGAGGGAGTAGAGTCTACTGAGGCCACTAAAAAAACCAGCCTGGTGGGGGCAGGTGCTGAAGGGGAAGTTTGGAAGGCAGGGTGATGCTAGATCTAGGCTACGGATTGCTCAGGCCAGGCCAAGATGCGTACCGTAGCCACTAGGCAACAAGGACTTATTGTAAATTATCAACTCTGACTGATAAGATAAAAATGTTATTCTTTTAATTTTTAAATTTTGTTAATGTTTATTTATTTATTTTAATGTTTCATTTATTTCTGAGAGAGAGACAGCATGAGCAGGGGAGGGTAAGAGAAAGAGGGAGACACAGAATCGGAAACAGGCTCCAGGCTCTGAGCAAGCTGTCAGCACAGAGCCCGGCACTGGGCTCAAACCCACGAACCATGAGATCATGACCTGAGCCGAAGTTATACGCTTAACCAACTGAGCCACCCAGATGGCCCTATTTTTGAAAGAGAGAGATGGAGTGTGAGCAGGGGAGGGGAAGAGAGAGGAAGAATCAGAAGCAGGCTCCAGGCTCTCAGCTGTCAGCACAGAGCCCGACGCAGGGCTCGAACCCATGAACCATGAGATCATGACCTGAGCTGAAGTCAGACGCTCAACTGACTGAGCCCCCCAGGTACCCCCTTTTAATTTTTAAAATAATTTCAGGGGCACTTGGGGGATTCAGTCAGTTGAGCGTCTGACCTTGACTCAGGTCATGATTTCATGACTCCTGAGTTCAAGCCTCACATGGGCTTGCTGCTGTCAGCTCAGAGCCCGCTTCTGTCCTCTGTCCCCCGCTCTCCGCCCCTCTCCCACTTGTGGGCACATGCTCTCTCACTCAAAAATAAAAGATTAAAAAAACATTAAAAATTTTTTTAAAGATTTTGTTTTTATTTATTTATATGAGAGAGAGAGAGAGAGAGAGAGAGAGAGAGTGCACAGCAGAAGGAAGTGAGAAAGAGAATCTCAAGCAGAATCCAAGCTCAGCCCGCCATGGTGCTTGATCCCACAACCCTGGGATCATGACCTGAGCCGAAATCAGAAGTCAGACACCAATTGAGCCATCCAGTTGCCCCTAAAAGATTTTATTTTTAAGCAATGTCTACACCCAAAGTGAGAATTGAACTCACAATCCTGGGATCAAGAGTCACATGCTCTTCCAAGTGAGCCAGCCACGCACCCCAAGGAATCGATTGTTGTTGTTGTTGTTTTAAGTAAGCTCTACACCCAATGTGGGGGTTGAACTCATCAACCTGAGATCAGGAAGTCACATGCTCTACTGACTGAGCCTGCCGGGCACCCAAAAATGGTATTTTAAGATTACTCAGACACTGATGTTTCAGAAAGGCTTAAGTCCAAAGATTCTGAACATTGGCAGGGTAGTGAGGCTCAACAAATACTGAGAACTCGTGATCATTTGGGGCACTTCTGTCTTTAAGGAGCTCAAACCAACTGGGAGGAGTTAACAAAAATGTGGTGTGGCAGATGACACAGGTATATGGTTGACACAGTGTAGGGCAGACAAAGTTTGGTGAGAGGGAGGAGCCCAGTGGAGTCTGGAAAGATGGACAGAAAGAAGGCGAGGGGACAGAGAGCCGGTCCACTCTGGCTCCCAGCCTCACCTGCTGAAATAGCTGGCTATGAGGAAAGGGAAGAACTTTAAAGGGAAAGTAATGGATTGGAACAGCCTTATCAAGTTTATGAACCAAACAGTCAATGAGGGAGAAAGAAGAAAGATCTCTTCACGATGACCAAGCCAGGGGGCACAGTTGGTCATGGAGCAGGCCAGCTCAGCTTACTTCCGGGACACTCTCTGACCCTCACCAGCTAAACTGAAGAAAGCAAATAGTGTAGCTTGGCAGGCTGGGAAAGAAGCTTAAAAAAACTTGGTTATGGTGATAGAAGATAGAAAATGGTTACCTAGAAAAAGATTAAGGATGGAATTGACTGGAAAGGGGCCCCAGAAAAATCTTGGGGATTTCAGTGTTCTAAATCTTATCAGGATGGTTATTACAAGTGAGCATACGCTTGTCAAGACTCAATGAACTGAACATTTAAGAACAGTGCATTTTGTTGGAGGTAAATTAAGCTTAAAAAAAAAATGAAGAAATGCTATAATCAAATTATAATACTTGAGGAGGGAAAATGAAGACTAGAACAGTTGAGACTCAAACAAAGAGGGAAATTAGACCCCAGGAAAACCTTCCAACCAGTCTGAGGACCAAAGAGATGTGAGTATTTGAGGAAAGAACCAGACTATTTGCCAGACCTTAGCCCAGACTCACATGTTTTGATTGTATCTGCAGACCCAACACTGCCCAGCTACGTGCAGACAGAAGTGAAATGTGGTTGGGTCACCTGGGTGGCTGAGTCGGTTAAGCATCTGACTTTGGCTCAGGTCATGATCTCACGGTTTGTGGGTTCAAGCCCCGCGTTGGGCTCTGTGCTGACAGCTCAGAGTTTGGAGCCTGCTTCAGATTCTGTGTCTCCCTCTCTCTTCCCTGCCCCTCCCCTGCTCATGCACTGTCTCTGCCTCTCAAAAATAAATGTTTCCAAAGTAGTAATAATAACGAAACATATTGTTGTTAGCCTGGGAAGAATGGGGGAGCCATGACCGAGAAGCTGGAGAGCCCAGGTGAACCGCAGATTTCGTGGAGGTGCATGGTAGGCTGTGACATAGAAGACACGGGAAGACTGGGTAACAGCCAGGAGGTAGAAGGGGAGAGAAAAGGAGGCAAAGAAAGGCAAGGAATACAGGGATTTGAAGAGATTTCTCCAGAAACTTGAAAAATCAGAAAACTGGGTCCAACTTTCTCTTCCGTCATTAAAGCAATAGAATTTTATTATTTTTTAAAGATTTTATTTTTGTTAATTTTTTAAAATGTTTTATTTTTGAGAGAGAGATAGAGACAGAATGAGCAGGGGAGGGTCAGAAAGAGAAGAGTCACAGGATCTGAAGACAGGCTCCAGGCTCTGAGCTGTCAGCACAGAGCCCGACATGGGGCTCGAACCCACAAACCGTGAGATCATGACCTGAGCCGAAGTCGGACGCTCAACTGACTGAGCCACCCAGGCGCCCCTATTTTTGTTAATTTTTAAAAAATGTTTATTATTTATTTTGAGAGAGAGAGAGAGTGCACAGAGGAGGGGCAGAGAGAGGATCCAGCAGACTCTGAGCTGTCAGTGTGGAGTCCAATGTGGGGCTCAGACTCACCAACCACAAGATCATGACCTGAGCTGAAATTCAGTGTTGGACGCTTAACCAACCGAGCCACCCAGGCGTTCCTCTTAAGTTTATATTTATTTTTTTAGTAATCTTTACACCCAGTGTGGGGCTCAAACTCACAGCCCCGAGATCAAGAGTTGCATGCTCTACCGACTAAGTCAGCCAGGCACCTCAGGGAATAAAATTGTAAAACACCAAACTTGAGAAGTCAGAACTCTGGCATGAAAATATCTGAAAGGTCTAGAAGGATATGCATCAGACTATGCCCCACACTAGAGGGAAGTTACATACCTACTGTGTAGTGTTGAATTTTGTCAGCAAGCACGTGCTTTTCATTTTCCTTAACCAATTAAATTGTGTTCAAACCAGTGTGGGATCAAAACACAGTGTTGCTCGAAGCTGGGGCCTGTCTTTGGTGGGCGAAGTCCTCACACTTGTAATCTGTGTTTGACACGTCTGCAGGCGTGAAGGGTGACATCTGTCCCCTCACTCCTTGCCTGGGGCTGCCCTTTCCTTTCCTCAATGCAGTGACAAAGCCCAAGGGAGGTGAGGCTGGGGCTGGGGACCTGAAGGTCAGGGGCAGGCAAAGTATGCCCATCAAGGACTAGACAGTACAAATGTTAGGATAGGAAGAACATATAGTCCCCATCACAAGGATGCTGCTATTTTCACACAAAGGCAGCCACAGACAATATGGAAAGGAAGTCGTGCCAGCAAGGCCAGGTCAAGCCACAGTCGGCTGGCCTCTGGAGCGGTGGTTTTGGTTCCTGACTGCACATCAGAATCACTTCCGGGTGGTGGTGGTGGGGGGAGCTAGGGTGGCTCAGTCGGTTGAGCATCCGACTCTTGATTTCAGCTTGGGTCATGATCCCAGGGTCACAGGGTGGAGCCCCATGTCGGGCTCTACACTGGGTGTGGAACCTGCTTGGGACTCTCCCCCTCTCTCCCTGCCCCTCCCCTGCTTGCTCTCTCTCTCAAAATAAATAAACATTTTTTAAAAAACCACTTCAGGGGCTCATAAAACCACTACTACCCAGGCCCCACTCCCAAGATTCCAAATCTGGAATGGGCCCCAAACTTTTTTTAACATTTTAGCTACCAGATAACTCTGATGTCCATTCTGGGCTGAAAACAGCTGTTCCAGGAGAATCATGGTCTCAGGAAACTCCAGGAGTTTGGGGGGGGGGGCAGGCTGGGGGACAGACGAATGCCAGAGAAGGACCCAGAGCTGAAGCGAAGTCTAGGTTAAGATTAGTAGTGTTCGCAGTGCACCTGACAAATTAAGTGCTTCCAATGCTTCGAGTAAACCGATCTTTATTTGATGTTTTTGCGCGCAGAGAGCCCAAGGCTGGGGTCGGCCCCCCCTCCTTAGTTAAGGTGGCCGCGGTGGGGAGGGAGAGGGGGCCATCAGTAAGCCACCGGCTACCTAACCTTCTTTCTGGAACCATTCTCTATAGGCCCCTTCGTAATTGCGAGCCCTGCGGAGACAAAGGAGGTAAGGGAAAGACAGGCCCGGGAGGCAGTCCCCAGTCACCCGCCAGCTGGCCATGCACACCTTCCCCCTACCCTGTGTATCCGAGGCCCCGGGCCAGCTGCGTGGCCTGCAAGCCCCGCTTGCCCATCTGGCAGAAGAAAATGAGATTCTCGTCTTCCCGCTTGGGCTTCTCGGCGGAGTACAAAGCCTGGAAAGCGGCGGGCTCCATCTGCAGGGCACTTTCCAGCTCCGACACTGGGAGGGAGGAGTCGAGGGGACAGAATGGAAGCCCGCAGGTGGCGACCTCAGGTCCACACTGGGCCTGGCAAGGGCTGGCTCGAGCGGCCCGAGCCAATCCCCAGAGCGCCCCCAAACCACATACGGTGACCACCCCACACCCCATCCTCGAGGACCACACGGGCCCACCTGCGCGGGAAGGCGGACAAGCCGCGGAACCGGAGCCACCTCCCCAGCGGCGAGGGGGAGCGGCGGGCGGGCGGGCCCCCGGCCCCGGGGAGGTCAAGCGCAGAGCAGCGGGCCCGCCCCTTCCTCGCCGCCTGTGATCCGCGCAAACTGGAAGGGCCGGTTCCGCGGCCAGGATCCGCCTCCCACCAACCCTCCTCCAGGAAGTTGGAGGTGGGGGGCGGGGTGCTTGAGGGAACACAGGACTCCCGCAGCCGTGCCTCCCCCGCGCGCCACCCTAGATGCCCCTCCCGGACATCCCCTCGGTCCCATACCCGGGATGTTGAGCGCCCCCGGGATGGTCCCCGCTGCCGCCTCCTCCCGAGATCTCACATCGATGAGCCGGGCCTGGCCCGAGGCCAGGAGCGAACGCAGTTCAGGGAGCGAGACTGTGGGCGCTGGGGAAGGAGGCATGAGAGCCTGGAGCGGAGCGGGCTGCGCGGCGCCCCTACACCTGCACCTGGCGGCGCCCCAGCCCGGGAGCGGGGGCGTGCGGCCCTCCGCGCCACGCCCCTCCGCGCCTCCCTCCGCCGGGCCCCCCCTGGGGGGCTCCTCGCGCTCCCGGGAGCCGCGGGCCGTTCGGGGCGAGGCCGCAGGTCTCCCCGCAGGTACCTCCAGCCATGGCGCGCGCCGCGACGGCGAGCTGCAGGAATGCGGCCCCGAGCCGCCCCGGCCGTGCCCACAGCATCTCTCCCGCCTCCCGGAACCGGGACCGGAAGCGGAAGCGAAGGCACCGCCTCCCGGACTGCCCCCTCGGCACCTGTTCGAGGTACAGCTAATACCCTCCCCCGCTCGCCAGAGATTCTTGCGACTGCCCCGCACCAGGACTCAGAATCACGGACACAGGCGCGGCACCCCACCCTAACTTGGCCCAACCCTTGCCTGGCAAAGTGCAAGGTCCTCCCCTCCCTTCCGCCCTCTGGGGCCCATAAAAAGAGGAAAACCAGGAGACAAATGTGGCTCTGAACATTTTATCTTTTTAAAAAAAAAAAAAAAGAAAGAAAGAAAAAGAAACCGTCCCCACAAGGGGAAGGCCCCAATTGGGCCCCTGTCTGTTGTTCTCCCTGGCTCGAGACTTCTGCATAGGCCTTGGATGCTTGCTGGCCTATCTCCTCTTCCTGCGGCAGCGGCCACTGCTAAGCATCCTTTCCCCCACCTCCTGCAAAAGGTCCCCGGAGACCTCAGGTGCACATCTGCGCTCCAGGCTAAGAAAGAACCAGTGCAAGCGCCAGAGTCCTGGGGCAGGCCGGCGCAGCACTTGGTAGCGGACCTTCTGGGGCACTGTGCGCGGGCATAGGGCAAGCCCCCCGGTTCTGTGTGTCCAGTATCCAGCATGGAGACAGCAAATGCATGTGCCAGAGGAGCACAGGGGCCCAGGGGCCGCACGGCAGGGCGGGCGAGGCTGTGGGCGCAGGCCCACGTGCGTGTTTCACACGGCTGCAGGCTGCTAGATCACAGGGCCTCAGTTCAAAGGAACGCCTTCTGACTCCCCCTGGTCCCACGCCAGAGGCGGGCAGTTAAGGAAAGGGGCACGGGGTTGGCCTGCTGCTGCTGGGCTCTCTGTAGTTCTCAGAAAGGGGCCGTAGGGGCCCCAAGCCCCCGAGTCCCCACAGTTAGTTGCTGTCATTCTTAATGACGACCTCTACTCCGTGGTGCCGCAACTGAGCTCGAAGCAGCAGGTTCTTGTTTTTAAGGTCTTCCACCTGACGTGGAAAGGAGGCGATGAGGAAAGTAGAAAAGTTGGTACTTTAATGAACTTCTTCAGGCAGCCACTAGTGAGGGGAAGAGGACGAAGCCCTCTCTATGGCAACCAAAGGAAGGAGCCCCAACCTGGCTCAGGGACCCTGGAGTCGAGGAGGGCTGGACCGAGGACAGGGTTCTGACCTGCTGTCGAAGCACATCATTGTCCAGCTGCAGCTGGTCAAGCCCCTGCAGCTCTTCAGACAACCGGTGGTTACTCTGTCGAAGCTCCTGGATATAATCACAGGCTTTGGACAGAATTCCACCTTTACTCTGCAAGAAAAAGCCAGCAAAAATGAGGACTAAAAATATGTGCGACCTGGCTTGCCTTGCAAAAGCGCACTCACACCCTGAGCGTTGCTTTCCCCTGAGGGCGGGGGCGTAACGTTTCACGAGGACACGGCTTCCTGCCATGTGTGCCCTCTCTACCGTTTCGGGAAACGGTACCAGAAGACAGAATCCAGGCAGCCTGCCCACTCCCGGGGCCCTCCCGTGACCTGGCCGGACTTGGTGCTCTCCATGGAGCAGTCTGGGATGATCTTGGACAGCTGCACAATCCAGTTATTAATCTTGTCTCGGCGGCGGCGTTCGACTGTGGGGCAGAGCGGAGGTCAAGGGGACTCTGTGAGTGCTCCCCGCGGGCCCCGTCCAAGCCCGCAAGCCCTGCCGCTCAGACACCACGGTGGTCCCCGATCCGGCCGAACGGTACCTACCTTCGTTATGCTGAGCCCTGCGTTTCTCATCCCGAGTGGTGCGGGGAGCTTCTGACTTCCTGACGACAGAGCCCAGGGCGGCCAGAGTAAGGGAAGGATGAAGAAGAAGACTGGAGGTTGGGACAAGGAACGACACAGGAGCTGGCGGGGATCAAGAACACCACGGCCGAGAGGAAGCAGGGGTTACTCACGGGGAATAAGGGTGAGTCCTCGGGGCGATGGAGCGCTGGCTTCCCCCCTGCAACACTTCTTGGGGCGACATCATCACAAAGAATTGTCCTGCGAAGGCACGGGGTTGGGTCTGTCAGGAGGTGGGACCGGGAACCTCGCCAAGCTCTGAGGCCCCACGGCCCTAGGAGCCTCTGCTAAGAAGGACATACTTCCTCCTTTCGGAAGGGCAGCCCCAGACCCACCGCCTGCCCAGGTCTCAGCAGTTGTTAAGGGGTCATGAGGCAAGGCGCCCCCTGCCCCCGGCCTTGTCCGCAGCCCAGGCAGCCCCTCCAGCAGCACCCCCCCACGCCTCACCGGTGCCAGGAGGCGTCGCCTGCCCCAGCAGTGCCTCGGAGCCCTGCGTCGTGACCACCGCGGCGGCGCTCCCCGAGGTGGCACCCGCGGCCCCATCGCCCACGGCAGTGCTGGGGAAGTAAGTGTAGTGCGTCTCGGCGGCCGTCCCCTCGGCGTCAACCGTATCGTCACTGGTGAATGCACCCTGGATCACTGCCTGGGAAGGGGGACGTGGGGACACAGTTCAGGGACACCCAGGTACGGCCCACTGAACTCCTCACTGCACAGCTGCTATCCCTGGGAGGAAGGAGGGAGGAATATGGAGAAAGGGAGAACCTAGTGCCTTGGGACAAGGCAGCCCCAAGGTGCCTCTCTCCCACCCTCGCCCGTCCCCGTCCCCTTCCTCTGTGGGGCTCGGGCCCCCTCCCCAACCCGTCCCCTGGTACCTGGGTCATGGACTGAGTGGCAGGATAGCCACTGATGGCGCCAGTCCCCTCGGTCTGGCCATCCAGCTGCCCCTCAGACACCTGGATCACTCTGTACATCACCTAGAAGCAGGGAAGAAAGGGAAAGGGCGCCGGGTGGGGAGGGAGAGAGCCGGAGAGTAAATGCTGGGGCCCCCGGGCCCCTTTCTTCTCTCGGATAGCACCCCAAAACAAGGGGGCTTCAGAGACAAAGATTCAGCCGCTCGCCCCTTTCCCCGGAAGTTTCTGCACCCCTCCCCCACCCCTCCCCCAATCCCTACTCCAAACCTCATTGTCCAAGCCCCTCCCCACCCCGCAGGGGCCCACACCTTCACCCCACCCGCCAAGCCAGGTCTCCCCCCTCATCCCCAACCCCAGGTAACACCTGCAGCCACCTGGCCCCCTCCCTTACCTGGCCCCCATTCTCAGTTCGGAAGACGTACTTGACGTTGGGGTCAGGAAAGGTGGCAGCTGACTGGATGCTGGCAATAGCCACGCTGGTGGGGTCCTCCCCAGTTGCCACTGCACCTGAATTAAAAGAGCAAAGGAAAAGTGTCTGAGTTACTGACCTTCTCCCCCTGTTCCACTTGCATGTCATTCAGAAGGACGAGCGTGCCCGGGAGACGCGCCCATGGGGGGCGGGGAGAGGCCACGATGGGCTCTTGGTCTCAGGTCTGTTTCTACCACCCACCTTCCTGAATCTGCACCGTCCCTTCTTCTGCTTCAGCTGTTTTCTGCTGCCTGTTTGTGAAGGGAAAAGAGAAAGAATAAGACAAGAAGCGAATAAAAAGCTCACCGACCCAGTAACATATGGCTCCCAAACCCCATGGCATTCCCAACAGATCCTGGGTCAGGTTAGAATAACAACGGCTAGTGTTTACTGAGTGTTTATTGTGTGTGCACACCACTGAACTACGCACTGAACGAGCGGTGTCTTAGTTAATGCTAACAACAGCACGATGAGGTGAGCAGCAGTACTTGCGTTTTGTAGACGGGGAAGCAGATCACACAGCTCGTAAGTGACTGAGCTGAAATCAGAATCTAGGTCCACCCGACTCCAGAGCCAGTGCTCTTAGCCATTCTGCGTTCTACCGGGCCTCCCACCTCCCGCCCCAGACCCTACCTCTTCTTCACTCACCCCTTCATCTCTCTGTAAGGGGGCGCATCCGAGGATCTGGTCCTTCTGTGGAAGTCTCTGTATCTCCCGCCTCACAGGCCAGAGTGCTAAGTCCTGGTAGAAATCAGGGAGTTGGTGGTGAGGTCAAGAAACTGAACAGCCCGTTTCAAGAAGCTGGGCTCCATGAAGACTCGGCCAGGAACAACATCCAGTCATCCACAGAGGACAGTCAGTTTCCTCCATTCTGATGCTGAGAAGCGGGCTACAGTGCTTGAACGATTAACTCTACAAATAGTGCCCCTGGGCCCTCCATTATCCCTCCAAATCCCGGGGGAGAGGAGACAGTGACACGGCACGGGAACACGGAGAAAAGACAGATCTCAGGGTGGGTCATTACTAGAGCTATTATGATCATCCATGACTTCGGGGTTAGGAAGGCCACGTTCAGACCACCACTGTCAAAAACCCGGGGCCACTGGACACCGGTTCTTCCTCCTGCTTCTCAGCCACATCCTGTACCAAGAAATTTCTGTTCTCAAGTCTAGGAAGGGGAAACCTGAAACCCACTGCTATTGGAAGACCTCCCTGAACCACAAAGAACAGACGTGGCCCCTGGGCCTCATTCTGCTTGGCCCCTTGGGCTCTTGCTTTGGGGTGTCCAGATTTATGTCATTTGTTAAAGACCCTAAAGTCCAAGTGTATCATCTACAAGCCCCTTCTATTTTCTTCACCAAGCCTTCCCGTTGAACAACGCTGTTGCTAAAATGTTGCCATGGCAACTCCAAACCAACTGAATCTCAGCAAAAGGGAAAAAAAACTCCAGGCTCCAGGTTTGGGAAGGAGAGACAATGGAAAAGGAACTCATTTGCAAGGTGCCCCCCCCTTAGGGTCCTAACATCCGACCCGGAGAGGAGGAAAAACAAAGAGCTGTGAAGACCCACGTCTCCAGAAAGATACGGCTACCCGTACAAAACAACAAAATTATCCCCCCACGAAAGGGTAAGATTTTTGTCAAGTCTCTACCCATAAGGTCCTCCAAATCTTTCCCGTCCAAGGAAAATCTTCAGCGGATGAGCCTTGAAAAGCCCGCATCGAAGGGAAGTACTGACCAAAAGGAAAAAAAAAAAAAAGAATCAAAAGCAACCAAACAAACAAAAAAACAAAGGGAAAAAAAAAAAGAACCGAAAGTGAAAGTGTCCGGAGGAAGTAGCGCAGCGAGGAGATCCCCGTCCTCAAGGGGAAGTAGGACCCGTGTTTCGGGGCCACCTACCTGTCCATCCTCAGACCTGCGGAGGAAGCGCCCCTCCGAGGCTGGCGGCGCTGAAGGCAGGAGCCGGCAGCGCACGGGAGGCGTCTCTATCGCCCGCAGCTGTCAGCCAGGGGCGGCCTCTGAGGACACCCGGCAACGGGGTCAGGCCGCTTATTCAACTCTTACTTGGACATCCGGAAGCATTTCCTGAGCATTAGGGGATGCGACTCGGAAACGCGGACAGGACGTTGGGGCGTGCGCGCTCGGGCCCGCAGGGCCCGGCAAGAGCCCCTGCTAAGTCTGGACACAAAGGGGAAAACGACCCAGTCCCGAAAGAAGTGAGGCGCCCGACCTTGCCCGAGCACGCGGCGTGGCCCCGCAGGCCCCGCAGCCGGCAGGCGCGAGCCCGCGAGCCCGGGCGCCCGCGAGCCCGGGCGGCCGCCGCGCTCGCTCGGCGGCCGGGAAAGGGCGCGGGGCTCGGCGGGCCCGCGGTCCCGGCCCCGCGGCAGGCAGCGCAGGAGGGCGGGGACGCGCGCGCTCGGGGGCGGGGAGTGCGCTCGGCCCACAAAGGGGGGCGGGAGAGAAAGGACCGGGCTCGGCCCCCTCCCGCAAAACAAAGACTTCCTCCCCGGCCGGTCCGCCACCTGAAAACGGGAACGAAATCCAAGCTGCCCTGCCCACGGGCGCACCCAGCCTCTAGACTCGCGACCCGCGTCCGGCTCCGAACTCACCGGCCAAGGCCGCCTCAGCCGCCGATCTCCCCCGACCGTGTTCTCCCTCCCCGGACTCGGAGAGCTCCATGGACAGCTGCTCATGCGCACTCCCGGCCTGCCGCCATGTTGCTGAGGGGCGGAAGTGTCTCTCTCGGCCCGCCCAGCCTCCGAGCCGCCCCACTTCCGGTCGTCCCGCTTGATGAAAGAAGTGGGTGGGTGAGGCTGTCGCCGGGGCAGAGAAGAAGGAACTTCCTGAGAGAATGACACTGAAGTATCTGTGGCTTTCGGCAAGAACGGGCGAAAGATGACTGACGTGTGCTCCCATTTTTCTGTTGGACAAGGCGTTTTTAGTGGCAGAAGGGAAGGAGGTTGGCTTAGATCAAGGGAGGGACGTCGGGCGGAGGCGCCATCTTTAACAAGGGCTACTGGGGAGGCCATCTTGGATCAGGACACTTTTTTGGTGTCCCCTGGAGATGAAGATAGATTTGGGTATAGTCCTTTGTAGTAGCGTCAGCGGTTGGTCACCCAAACACTCCCAGAGCTTCCAGTTTTTGAAAGGTTCTCAGTTTCTGTGAGAGGCATCTTGATTCCCTTCTTCTCAGTTAAGACCTACCCATAATGGATTTGGAGCAGCGTGGTGTGATCAGAAGCCAGACAAACACGGGTCTCAAACCTGCCTCTGCTGAGAACATTGGCAAGCCTTCTGAGTTAATTAGCTCTCTCATCTGTGAAACGGAGATACCAGTACCAAACTTACAGAATCTTTATGTGGACTAACTAAAATCAAGGGTATAGATTTTATGCTCGTAGAATACCTAGCCTTTACTGGTAGATAACGAGCATTATGTAAATAAAAGTTTCTCTTCCTCATTTCCTGACCACCATGAACCCAGCTCTAGTTTCTAGCCACAGGTCTCCATGACAACTGAGGAAGAGCACCCTAACAACAACAGCAAGAAGAGATCTTACCAAATATGAAAATGTGATACCCATCACCTAAGACTCGAGTAAGAAAAACGAGGCTCCACACTGTGTACGTTTAAAAGTATAACCTTTATTCTGAGATTGCTTCTTCCTAGAATGGAGCCTGTGGCCCCAGCCTGTCTGGAGAAGCAGTCCCAGGGCCTGAGTTATGCTATTCTCCTTCCTTGAAATAGGAGGAATTTATTCCAAAGGAAAAAGGAGAAGCCAGGGAGATCTGTAGATGTCTCTTCCTAAAAGTGACTGGAGGCAGAGGGTGGGGTTGCTGGCAAGGGAGCCAGTCCCTCCAACACACTTTGAGGACTTCAGAGATCTTCCTTGACATGTTCCTCCTAATCTGGAGCTAAAGTGTCAGGAGGTAGCCAAGGGCCCAAGAGCAGAATAAGGATGGGCAACTCAGAAGTGTTTATGTGTGATGGTCTCTGGCCTGGCTCTGCCCTCCCCTCCTCCACCCTGGGCTTCCATGAAGGGAAGTACACAGCCTCGGAGGAGGGCGGGAACTTAGCTGGAGTTCCCTCTTCATTCTTCACTTTGAGAAACCTCCAAGTTTTCTGCCTACTCTTTGTTCCCTTTGACCAATGACCCCACTCCCTGGTAACAGGATCTTGGTGACTTTCTTGGGAATATCCTAAGGATAAGTGCTTTGTGTCTGAGACAAGCTCAAGTAAACCAACGGAGGCGATGCTTCCCACAGTCAAAAAGAGAAGCCGAGGGGTCAAAGCCTATGGTGTTGGACACTCCAGCTGCTCAGGCTGCAGAAGAAACAGCTAGTCTGGGAACCCGGAGATTCAAGACAACTTCCTGTCCCCTTTCCCCAGCACTGGGGGACTACTCACAGTCCCTCACCTCTCCCAGGGTTAGCCTGTGTTTCAAATGCATATGATCGGCGCTGGGGGGACAGAAGAGGGTCAGGGGGCTGGGGTTCCCTGGGGGGCAGACTAAGCCGACTCCGGTGTCCAGACCCGTCTGTGTCTTCAGATGGGAGCTCTAGGCAGCTAAGTGGCCGAGAATAGGCAGGGGTCACACTACAAGGGGAGGTTCTGTAGTCCCCACCCCCAGTACAGGTCTGGGTCCGCCGAACTCCCTGAGCCTCAGTCCTCTGCCGGTCCCGGGCCAGGGCCACAGCAGCATCAAAAGAAAGACTGCCCCCATTCCTCCATGAGGAACGGGAGGCTCGGGACCCCCAAGCCCTTTCCCCAGGAGCCCCATCAAGCCGGCCAGGCCTCGGGCATGGGTTTGCAGGCGCCACGTGGATCTTGCTACACATTGCACTAGGCATCTTGGCAAATTGTGGTTTGGGGGGCACCACAGGCACAGAGCGGACCTGTTGGACCTGAACCAGCTTGGAAGCCAGGCGCATGCCCACACCACTAGCTGAGCCAAGAGGACAGGGGCACAGACTGCAGCCCTCGGGACTGAGCTGCCCCTCGGGCTCCATCTCCTCTGGCCGGGGTGGCTGTGGGACTGCCTGTTCTGCCTCCGATGACTGGGAGTTGCCCCCTTTGGCACTGTCAACCTCCAGGGGCTCTACGTGTGGCCCTTCGGGAAGGGAGTCCTTTTCTGAATGGTCACCTCCATCGCTCTGCTCTCTCTCGTGCTCTCTGTCCCCACTCTCCCTTTCCTTGCTGACCCCCTCTGCTCCTCCTCCAGCTGCTGCTTCTGGGCTCCCGCTCTCTTCACCGTCTCCTTGGTCTTCTCTTGCCTCTTGGTTCTCATGCTCCTTCTGTCCTTTGACCTCATCCTCTCTGCCTCCTTCAGCCTCTTGTTCATGTACGACTTCCCAGCTCTCCTCAGCCACGTGGGTTTCCTGGGCCCTGCACTCTGGGTCCCTTGTGGCTTGTACCTGGGCTTCCTCTCCTTCCTCAGCCTCTTCCTCTCTCTCAGCCTTTCTTTCTTTCTCATTGTCTTTGCCCTGCTCTTCTCCTGTTCCCTCTGCACCCTTAGCTTCCTCCACACTCTCATCATCGTCCTGCTGACCTTTGGACTCCTCTGCCTTGGCCTCTGGCTCTTCCCCACCCTCTTCCTCCAAACTGGCCATCATCTCCTGGCTTCCCCCAGCCTCCCCTCCTTCCTCACCTGCTTCTCCATCCTCCACCTCGCTCTCTGGACTCCCCTCAGCCTCCTCCCTGATGTCCCACCTGCCTTCAGGCTCAGCCTCCTTGCCCGCTCCACCTTCCCAGCATGCCTGCTCTCCCTCAGCCTGCCCTGGAGCCCCCTGTCCCCCACATCCTGCCGCCTCTTCCTCCAGGCTCCCTGGACCCTCCCAGTTTGGGTGTTTGGGGCCCAGAAGGGGACTTAGGTCATCGTAGGCACTCAGGAAGACTTCTTCCCCACTTTCCTCTTCTTCAGGCCTGGGGCCCGCAGAGTCCAGGGAACAGCAGCTGGGAGCCAGGACAAACTGTGCCTCGTCCAGAGACAGGTCATCCAAGGGCGGCTCCACAGAGAACTCCTCCACCTGCGGGCATAGCACTGGGGCTCAGGACCAGGAGGCCCTGTCCACCCTCTGGCTTCCCCACCAGCCCAAACGCAGTACAGCCCCTCCTTACCTGAGGCCCAACTCCCAGGAGCTCCTCCAGGTAGCCCATCCCAGGGTCGTCCTCCCCGGGGGAGAAGGCTGCTCCTGCCGTTCCTGCCTTGGCCACCTCCCCATCCTCCACCCCCACCCACTCGGGCTCTGAGCTGCTTGAGTCCTCTAGGAAGGAGAAGGAATCCTGCACCTCCTGGGACAGGCAGTCCTCCAGGGCAGGGGCCATGTCCGCCAGGCCACAGTCAGCCAGGGGCCCTGCGGCTGAACTTGCCTCCAACTTTTCATCTGTTGAGAGAAAGGTAGTCCCAGGAACACAAAAGTCAGGACCACCCTCCACCCTCTACAATATGGGTCTTCCTAGCGCTGCTACCGTATGGGCCCACAGTCCCGGCATAGAGCCTGCTGGGACATACGAGTCTGGCCGATCCTCTCAGACTCGTATCCCTAACTATTGGCTTATGGCTCCCACCAAGTGCCAGGCACCGTGCTGTACATTTTACAATGCATTCCCCCCACCAAACAACCCCATAAGGTAGGGTGTTTATCCTCATTTTAAATAGGAGGAAAGAGAGACTCAGAGATTTGTCCAAGGTCACACACACAGTAAGTGGCACAGCCGAAGTTTGAACCCAAGCCTACTTAACTCTGTAGCCCAAGTCCTTACCCACCGCCTTATGCGGCCTCAATACTTCTCATCAGTAACACTTCAGGAACTGGATTCAGAGTAAAGATCAGATCCCAATTCTGCCACCTCCGAACTAAACCAACAGCAAATAGCTTAACCTAGGTCTCCAGTTCCACTGCTGTGACATAAGCACAGCAACAGTGACTGTGTCATCCAGTTACAAAAGAATGAGATGTTAATGGCTGCAGAGTCCTTAACATGGCACTTGGCATACAGTAAACCTGCAGTAAATGTTAACTGTTAGTATTGATACTATGATTATTACCAGCATCTATTATACTTGTACTCAGTAATCCCTACTGTCTGAGTCTGGCACGGACTCCCAGTCTTGGGTATATCGGTGATCTAAAGACTGCCAGAGATCCTCTCTCTGTGGATTTCACAGAACCTGATAATATTACTGGCTCCCCTCCCCCAACCTGGAAGCCAGGGAGGCAGCTGAAGGTGACCACCCAAAGCCCGAGGACTGAGGCATCTGCCATTCCGAGGACAGATACCTTGCACCAGAGCTTCAGCCTGGAGTTCTAGTCACTTCTCCCCGCCCGGGGAAATCTCTGGGTCCTCACCTGGGGGGCCAGGGCCGGGGCCAGGGCCAGGGCCGGGGCCGGGGCCGGGGCCGGGGCCAGAGGCAGGACTTGGCCGGGGCTGTAGGGCCGGGCACTCAAGGCCTCGGGTGAGCCTCGCCAAGGAGACGTTGGAGATGATGTTTGGGGGCACGCTGAGGATGGAGGTGATGTGCAGTGGGAGGTTGACATTGTAGGGGTCCGAGATGTGGACCCCAGCACAGCGCTCTGCCCGGCTGC